GGCAGCGACGAGCTAAGCTGTGCAAAACGGCGGCGGTGAGCTACGCTGTGCAAAACGGCGGCGGTGAGCTACGCTGTGCAAAATGGCGGCTACGAGCTACGCTGTGCAAAACGGCGGCTACGAGCTACGCTGTGCAAAACGGCGGCGGTGAGCTAAACGGTGCAAAACGGCGGCGACGAGCTAAACTGTGCAATGGCAGCTAAAAGCTAAATTTAGCGAAACAGCAGCTGCATGCTAAAAGTGAAGTTAAAAAAAGCTGAAATTTTAAAATAAAATGTCTTGTTTTTTTAAAATAATGTAGAAGTTATAAAACACAAAACTCCTGACTAAACAAGCTAAACATTTTGATACCTAAATGTTTGACGTAGCTAAAATTTTTTTGAAGTAGCTGAAGTTCTTAAGTAGTTTGTCTAAAAGATGTTCAGGAATCAATAATGGGATAAAAAGTTATGATGAGGAGCCGAAAGGAAAACCTCAGGAATAATTCAAATAAAGTCTTCGGCTGATTGCGCAGGTGATCGCCCGACTAAAGTCCAGCTGCGAGAGTCTGTCTGAGGAGTCCCTGGCCAAGCTGGGAGTGGAGCTGTTTAACTGCCAGGCGCAGACCGAGGGCCGGCGCACGTTTCCCTGCTCAGAGGAGATGGTAAGAACTTGAAACTGTGATTTAAAATAAAAACCCTGACCAGACGTAACGCTGAGCTCCTGTCAGACCATCAGGGAGTGCACGTCGGACATGGATCCAGACACGTGGAACGCGTACCACATCGTGAGCAACCGAGCGCGCTCCGTGTGCTACGCCACGCGCCAGCAGCTGTTCCGGCGCCGAGCGGAGCTGACGGTCAACGCTCTGATCTCCACGGCCAGCAGCCAGCTGGATGCCATGAAGGACCTGCAGGTAAGAGCCGGCTCCTCCGGGTCCTTCGGCTGTTTTGTGCGCGCTCCTGCAGGCCCGCTGACGGGGTCGTTCCTGGGAACAGGAGGGCCAGCTGGAGCTGAAGGAGCTGACGGCGGCGTCTCTGGACAAGCTGCTGGAGGGTCACGGCGCCCTGCGGGCCCAGCAGGGGGCGCTGCACCGAGGCCAGGAGCAGATGGAGGGTTCCCTGAGGAGCAACCTGGAGCGTCTGAGTCAGGAGAAGGCCCTGATCGCCTCGGGCCAGGAGCTGGTCGCTCAGCTGATTCAGAGCATCACCAAGAAAATGGGTAAAAGCTTTCATGAGGGCTCGCCTGGTCAAACGATGAGAGCAGTCTGCCTCCATTCGTTTGAATGGCAGCTCCTATTATATCCTATATCTTTATTATTATAGTCGTACAATAATACACCTGTACAAACGACCAGCTCGGCGGTGGGAGAGGTGCTTTTACTTTTAGTGGCGTTTCAGGTTACTATGGCGACATAAATGTAAATAACCTCATAGGAATACACTGAGCCCAGCTGCCACACGGAGTCATGTGATCTAGACTGAGAGCTGTTTGGCTTTTAAAATATTTCTTTCTACAGCCACAATTTTTATGATGTACAGACAAATTTTAAATTAAAACGTAGACATTTTTGTTTTCTTTCAGCCAATGTTTCTGTTTCTTCTAACAGTTTTCTCTCAAAGTGCGTCAGAAGTCAGGGAAGAACCACTTCCTGTTCTGTTTTCAATGTTAAATTTCTGTCACGTTCAGAAGTTAAACAATGATTTTTTTTAATTCATCATATCTTTGAGATAAAGTGCAGTAAAAATTTTAAAATTTCCATGAATAAGAACCAATCTSTTGTCTCTCGCCAATTCAACATTTTGAATGCTAATCACAAGTCTAAGCTAAATGCTAAACGCTAATGCTAAATTAAAAAAAAAAAAGGAAAATAAGCTCTATATCAGCCATTTTAACTTACAGTAACAGGCATAAACAAGCTTTGACCAATCCTGAATGCTAAATAATAATTCAGTTTGGCTGCCAGAGCTAATTTGGAACGGCAATACCGCAATCTTTTTTAGCTAAACTTTTGTGGGGTCTCCATCACATACTGAAGCCAAATGAAAAATGAAAAATGGCTGCCATTGCTAAAATGCTAAATTAACCATAACTAATTGACCATTTTTAGACACTTGGGATGGTATCAGTGATCTCCAACAAACGGTAAATTCAAATCTTTAAATTGGACGTCACGTGATGAGCCCTTTCATAGTTTCTTCAGGAACTATCCTAGTTCTTTTTTTTTTTTTTCAAATGAAACTGAAAAAAAATCGACTTCTTGAGCTTTATATCCACTCTGATTTTTCTCAAGGCAGTTCCTAAACAACAAATTTCCTCTTGGATCCAGAGAACGTGAGCGAAGCCCTGCAGGTCCAGAGCTCGGAGGTACAGGACGGACACAAGGWGATCGTGGAGGACCTCGCAGACGTCCGACAACAAGCTCAGGACATCTACCAGAGAATTGGTAAACCACCAGGTTTCTCCTCTCATCCTTAAATTAAAACAAACGAGCTGACGTGAACGTGTGTCTTCTGCTGGCCGAACAGACCAGAGCATGTCGGAGTTCCTGCAGTACCAGGACCAGACCTCCCAGTACTACACAGACCTGATGGACAAGCTGGACCGCATGAACGGCACGCTGGGCTTCATGCTGCAGCTGCTCGACCACATGCAGGGCGCCATCGAGGAGCGGCTGCACGCCATCCAGGGCTACCTCGGCTGGGCGGGTCAGAGGACGAGTCCGGTTCTTGTGGCTGCATTTTAGCTGCTGATACATCAGCTAAAGATGTTTCTGACGCTTCCAGGTTTGAGTCTGACAGCCATGTGGTCCTGCGTGGCACACGCGGCGTACTTCCTGTTGGGGGCGGTCCTCCTGACGTTCCTGCGCTGCTCGTGGTTCTCCCGAGCTCTGCTGCTGCTCGTGGTTCCGCTGAACGCAGCGGCCGAAGTCAACCAGCAGCCGGCGCTGGACCTGACCGGGCTGAGCCTGCTGCTGCTCGCCGCGTCTCTGGGTGCGGACCGCCGGCTACCGAACAAATTCAGAAATATCTGAGCGTCTTCATCACGTTTTCTCTGCAGCTCACTGGTTCCTGAATCAGCTGTGGGCCTGCTTTCAGAGCAGCCGAAGTCCGGCTGCCTCGCTCCTCGCGCTGTACCCGTCGAACGTCGCGGAGCCGCAGAAAGACGTGACGTCATCGGGAAACTCGTATCCTCAGTCTTCCACACCGCAGAGGTGAGACGGCTGGGACGTCGGCTGAAAAGTTTTATTAGCAAACCTCTGAACAGCTGACTTTAGCTGACGGAGAAATAAGTGAATAATCAGAGGAAAAAGTAGCAAAAATATGTGAAGCGTGAGCGAATTTCTCCCTGGGATCAAAGTATTTTTGATTTGATTAATTTCTACAAACTGTGATAAACTGATCAAAACTATAATTTTATTAGCAAGTTAAATATAAAACTAAGTTGTGTAGTGTGACAGGGCTTTAACCGTTCAGTTCAAAGAACTCGTGTTTTCTCTAAAACCGTCTCTGCTCTTCTGMCTCTCAGGGACCTGAAGTACGACGTGGATCCAGACCAGCTGTTGGACCAGGACCAGTTTTTACCAGGTGGAACTGGTGGTTTTTATGAATAAATCCTTTAATGCAGAGATTCTTAACCTGTGGGCCACGAGCGCCACCTTGAGGGCCTCAGAAGAACAACAGTTTTTAACTTTGGGCCGTGGGARCACATTGATTTTGAAAAAGGTGCAATACACTTTCTCACCACTAGTAGCAGTAGTGCACCACTCAGATGTTTAACAACTTTTTTAATATGTAGAAGAAGAACCTTAGAAACCTGCAGAGAATGGAAATTTATTTTAAATGAAAAGTAGAAGCAAAAATGAAAGTAACTCATCAAAAAACACCAAAGTTTGTCACTAATATGAAGAGCAGCTTCTGGTTGCAAAAGTTTAAAAATACTTTATTTTCATTTGGACTTTATCAAATTTATTTTTACAGGTTTTTTTATTTGAAACATTTAAATATTTTTAATTGATCTATTTTATGCCCACAATTTTATTTTTTGAATTGTCTGTTTGTTGTTGTTTATGTTAAAATGTATAGATATATTTTTGTGTTGATAAGCCTGAGTGGTCTGTTGACTGACCTTTGTATTTGTTCAAATAATAGTTATGGYCAGGTTATAATATAAAAATGTTTGTCATAATCATGTTTTATGGTTATTTGACAGGAGTTTTACTTTTAAACTGTAAATGTATTTAATTTAGTTATGTTAGTTATGATAGTTTAGTTATAATATAAATACAATAAAAATTAAACCAAGATTTATAATAATTATCATTTTGATCCATACATTGGTAATGTCTGACTGGGCCTCGTGTCACTTTATGTTCAATAAATTGGACCCTGAGGTGAAAAAGGTTCAGAACCCCTGATTTAATGGACTCACTAACTGTCTGTCTCTGGTCCAGGTGACCTCAGCCTGTCGATGGTGTCTCCAGAGGCCAGGTCCAGGTCCAGACTGACCCCTCAGTGCGTCCTCTCAGGGGTGAGATGATCCAGACTGAGGTTTGATTTAAACAAACCAGGACTTTGACTCAGATTTATGTCCAGGCTCTGATGGACGACACCCCCCTGAAGAACCTGGGAGCTGGTTCTGATGCGGAGAACTGGACCGACTTCAGGTCCGACTGGAGGAGCGCGAGTCCCGCCCCGTCTCTGCTCACCAACAGGTCCAGACCTTTATGTTTTTATAAATACATCTCTTTTTAAACGGAGAGCTTCAGGTTCTTCATGTTCCCTGCAGCAGCTCTGTGTCGGGGCGCCAGCTCTGCAACGGAACCACGAAAACCGGGAAAGCCTGCAAGAAGAGGGCTGTCCCGGGTCAGGAGTTCTGCCGGGTCCACGAGGGGGGCCACTCCTCCTACGCCCTCTCCTAAAGTTTCTGTAGCAATTTTTTAACATTTTGTTTTTATTCTCATGTTTTATTGTCTTTTTTAAATAAATCCCTGCCTGTTTTAATTTTTTATTAATGTTCCATAAACCAGGGGTTCTGAACCTTTTTGACATCAGGGCCCAATTTGTTGAACATAAAGAGACATGAGGTCCAGTCAGATATTACCAATGTATGGATCAAAATGATAATTATTATAAATCTTGGTTTAATTTGTATTGTATTTACATTATAACTAAATAAAATACACTTACAGTTTAAAAGTAAAACTCCTGTCAAATAATCACAAGACATGATTATAACAAACATTTTTATATTGTAACCTGCCCATAACTATTATTTGAACAAATACAAAGGTCAGTCAACAGACCACTCAGGCTTATCTGCACAAAAAAACATATTTTAACAAACAATAACAAAAATAGAAAAAATCAAATAAAATTGTGAGCATAAAATAAATTTAAAATGTTTTCAAATACAGAAAAAACTAAAACTAAATTTGATAAAGTCCAAATGAAAATAAAGCCTTTTTAAATTTTGCAACCAGAAGCTGCTCTTCATATTAGTGACAAACAATAAAAGTAACAGTTTTTTGACAAGTTTAAAGTTTCTTTAAAATAATTCAAAAAATAAACTACAAAAAATTATTTGATAAAGTGCAAATTAAAATATAGTTGTATCTGCAACTGTATTTGATAATGTTTTAACTTTTAAAATATTACATGGTAAAAACACAAGCTGCTCTTCATATTAGTGACAAACTTTGGTGTTTTTGAAGAGTTACTTTCATTTTTGCTTCTACTTTTCATTTAAAATAAGTTTCCATTCTCAGCAGGTTTCTAAGTTTCTTCTTCTACATATTAAAAAGGTTGTTAAACATTGAGTGGTGCACTACTGCTACTAGTGGTGAGAAAGTGCATTGCACCTTATTCAAAATCATTGAGGTCCCACGGCCCTCTGCGGCCCAAAGTTAAAAACTGTTGTTCTTTTGAGGCCCTCAAGGTGGCGCTTGCGGCCCGCAATTGGGCTGCATCCCATGGGTTGAGGATCTCTGCAATAAATGACGTTGATGTGCACAGGTGTAAAACATGWAAAATAACTCCAGACCAGAGTGGAAACACAACCTCCTTTTATTTAAATTCAGTCCCAATGTTTCACCAGTTAACCTTAAACCCTTTAAATCTTTAGAAACTGTTGAAAAAAGTGACTTTATAACAAAGTGGGTTTTCTGCCTCCACCTGCATTTTTTAAAGCCATTTTTTGAATAAATTAAAGAGAAAACTAAAGAAAAACGCACAGGTAGAAAAAAACTACAGATTTCATTTGTTCCAACAACAAATAGAAGTCCAACATGTCACAGTTTGGTCCTGGATCTGGATCTGCACCCGTCCTGACCTCTAACAGCAGCAGACCACCTGGCTCAGTCGGGGGTTATTTCCGGGCCGTGTCGTAGTTTGCCACAAACCAATCGCAGGTTTCTTTTAAAGCTGCAAGAAGGAGAAAACTTTAAATCTGATGCATTTATTTACAAACACAAACAGGAAGTGGTCCCACCTTGGCTGAAGGGCGTGAATTGAAAGTCGGGCAGGTAGCGGCGCAGCTTGGCGTTACTGGCCGTCTTCTTGAACTGACCGTCTGCTTTGCTGGTGTCGTACTGAGCAGCTGAAGTCAAGAAAGAAACAGTCTGCAGAAGGAAATACACCAAAACTCCGCCCCCCCAGAGTCAACGCACCATGGAGCCTTTTAGGAACAGATTTTATTAAATGCTAAAAAGCAGACTGTAAACATCCCAAAGGCAATTTTAAATGTTAACAAACCAAACATCTATGAAAACAACACAAAGTGAAGCCAAACTACGAAACAAAACGTTTAAATTATGAGAATAAATATAGGAATAAAGTAACAAGGCGGAATAGTCTATATTATGTGAAAAAAGTACGATTATGAGAAAATTACCCGTGTTGGGCAGCGCTAATTCAAACTTTAGTTTCGCAATTTCTAAAGCGCTAGTCAACTAATTTAGGTCCACAAGTTCAAAATCACATTAAAATTAGCAGAAGCTAAATATAAAGTGCAAGATTATGTCAGTTTACCAGAAAATATTCAGGTATGAGAGAAGTCAGCACTTTACTACCATCTAGATCATTTTCTTTGACCGTTGATGTGTCGTTGCAGTTTGGGGAGGTGATTTGTTGAAACAGACTTAAATCATGGTGTTATTAGTTCGGCTGCTTCTTGGTCATTTTCTTATGTTTATAACAGAGCTTCAGTAAAACGTGCAGATATATTAGAAACTTTTAAACTGTTTGTCGTAAAACTGAAGCAATGCATTCTGGGTAAGATGAACACGTTCTTTTCAAAATAAGAGCATGAATTTAAACTTTTCTGTGTTTGTTATTTATTGCCACGGTGTCCCTTGGTGAGGKGGTACAAACTGCACAGCTGAGTGTGGTTCTGCAGATCAGAACTGCAGGTGGATTGTCGCCCAGTGAAGAAGCTCCATCTGCTTCCTGCKARGCAAAGAATTGTGGGAACTCTACGGTGGCCCAGAAGGGTCGACAAAATGCAAAAGCCAAAAACACGACAACAAAAGCCACAACGGAAGTAATGCTAAAATGAAAGTTATGCTAAAATAGCACATAAATACATTAACTAAACAAAATCGAGATTTTACTTACTTAACCGTGATCCTTTATACTTCTTTGGTAAACGTGTGTACTTCCCAATTTCTTTTTMGTGGTTGGCAAATAACAATGTAGCGCATTACTGCCATCTACTGGTACATATGTGGACTGGATCAGCGCTCAAATAAAAAAATAAAACAAAAATTCATTCTTTCAAGCAAACGAGTCTGTTTCGATTACTAAATTAGTCTGAGTACTATAAATTTTTGAATTCCCTGGTAGAATTTCTGTGTTAAAAATTCCGCTTTAGCAAGATAACTTCCGTTTTAGCATTACTTCCGTTGTGGCTTTTGTATTTGACATGACCCCTCTGGGCCACCGTACTACGAAATGAAAACAGTCAACCAGAAGGAGAGTAAGTCAGAGTATAAAGCTCTGTGAACACAAGGAGGCGCTGTTTCCACACAGTGGAGCTCCATTGTGTTGAAAGAGATGCTTTTCCTTCCCATGTTCAAGAAAATCATGACAAAGTTTTAATGAATTATGTGGCTACAAAAGACTCTTTACTTTAGACTAAATTGAAGACTGAATGTGAAACATTTGTAATTAGCGCTACTCAATTTTAAATTTTAAAAGTGCAAATATGCACATCATTTAAAGAAATCAGGAAATCCCCTAAAGCAGAAAGGAGAAATTTAGGTCCACAATTAGTGCTTTAGGGCAGTGTTTCCCAAAGTTGGGGTCCGGACCCGGGTCCCGAAACATCAAGGTGGGGTCCTGAAAAGATTTTCTGAATTAATTACATTTTTGCCTTAGTTGTTACAAAGGAGTGAGGTTAGTGTATTTATAAATTTAGTATAAAAATAGTTACTATGCCCATGTTTAGTTGATCTGATACAAATGTTTATCATCCAAAAATAGCTGGGGGCTCAGGTCTCTGCTACTGTTATTTTGTGGGTCAAAAGCTGAAAAGTTTGGGAACCACTGCACTTTTGTAAAAGTTGGGCTTGGGACCCAATTATGGYTCATGAAGCACCTTGGATAATCTCCAGAAATCAATTTAAAGAGTAATAAAATAATCGCTGATATAATATTTTCCCTGTAATTATTACAAAAACACAAAATAAGTATAAATAAGTATTTATATTTGTGTACAAGCTGTTTAGATTGTCAAAAAACCTGTGTTTTTAGGGTTATTAACAAAGTTTGTGTACTCAGACCAGTAATATTTGGAGTCACAAGTTTTTGCCATGGATATTTAGTGGGTCAGAAGATAAAAAGTTTGGGAACCTCTGATTTAGGGGACTAGTGGCCACCACTGAAAATCACAATCTTGCATGAAAGAATCCATTAAAAGGAAAAAAAATCACTTTACAAGAATACTTATTAGAATAAAGTCTTATTATGAAAATCAATTTGTGACAAAAGTTGTTGGTGAATTAAGTCTATATTATGTCAAAWGTGTACAAAAATAACCCAAGGATACGAGCACTTCTCCTTTAAAAGCCAACGACTCGACCACGGCTTCAGCTGCTTCCTTTATGGACACCTCGTCTTCCTCCCCCACTGGAACAAAACCATCAAGCTTCAAACTTAAAGTATTAACCATCAACTTTCTGTCAGTCCCAGTCTCACCGGAGAGAATGACCGGCTCCACCTCGGGATACTCCCTCAGGACCCAGAGGAAGAGGCGAGCCAAGTCCAGAGAGTAGATGAACTGCCTCCTGGGAGAGCCGGACCCCCACACCACCAGAGGCTGCCCCGCCTCTGAGGGACGAGAGGCGGAGTCACTCAGCTGCTCCGTGTTTGTAAAGACGAGCGTGTGGACTCTTACTCTGAGCGAGGTAGGCTCTGTGGATGAGGCCTGGCAGCACGTGGCCGTCCTCGATGCTGAAGTTGTCGTGAGGACCGAACACGTTGGTGGGGATCACGGCCGTGTAGGACCGCCRGTGCTGCTGGAAGTAGCCCCTGTGAAGCATGGTTAAATTAAAACCCGTGACTCGTTCACAGCGCGGTATTTACCGGTGTCAGCTGGAGGACGTACCGGTTCTGAACGTCGATCATGCGTTTGGCGTAGGCGTAGCCGAAGTTGGAGTGATGAGGCGGGCCGTCGTGGATCATGGTTTCGTCGATGGGGTACGTGGTTTTATCGGGGAAGATGCAGGTGGACAGACAGGAGACCACCTTGACGGCGCCGGCCTCGTGCGCCGCCTGCAGCACGTTGTCGTTGATGTAAACGTTGTTCCTCTGCACACATTCACAACATTTAGCTTCTCGCTGCGCCTGCTCCACGCGCCGTCAGAGGAGGAAACCCACCCAGAAGTCCAGGTTGTACTTCATGTTCTTGAAAAGCCCCCCCACCATCGCAGCCAGGTGGATGACGTGGGTGGGGCGGTGCTTCTCGAACACCGCCCGCGTCTCCTCCTGGTTCCTGCGGGACGGATGGACAGGAAGTGAAACCACACCGAGTGGACACAGAGAGAAATCAGGTGATCCTCACATGAGATTTGCATCTTTGGAGGACAGAAAGATCCACTCCTCTCCTTCCCGGGTCGCTCCTTCTTCTTTGATCACGTGCTGGATGGCCCTCCCCACCAGGCCGGACCCCCCCGTCACCAGAACCCTCATGGGAGCCGAGCGTTCAGCCTGAGAAGTCATCTAAAGYAATAAAACCCTGGTTAGAGAAGCTGAAGTTTTGTGTTGCCGTCAAACATTGGATCACATTTTGTTCAGAGGGAAAGCTGCTATAATCTGAAGGGATTACAAACGTTTGTTAAACTGAAAATCAGAACTAATTTGAGGACAGATGAACTTCAGTAAAAGGTATAAGACTATGGAATAATCTGGAGGATGACTATAAGAGCACTGGATCAGTTAATTAAGAAAATGATCAAGAAAAAATTGTTAAAGAAATATGAAATTGTTTAATTTGTATTAGTTACTGTCTGAGGAGTTAAATTTTTTTGTTTTTTTATTATTTGATTTATCATTGTTTATATAC